AAAAAAAAAAAAAAAAAAAAAAAAAAAAAAAAGTGGGGGGTAGAGGGAGGAGGAAAGAAAGAAGAACGGAAGAAAAAGAAAAAGCTGGGAGCATCATCCACTATACAAGCATCACAAAGACTCAGGTGTAGGGAACAATCTCCAAAATTTTCCACGGTGTCTATAGAGCGTTTCGCATAAAACGTGGAACATCCTCCTTGCACGTCAAAGCAAGCCCCCCACCTTCCCTCCGGGGCCTGTGGTCTTCTCCCAACAGCAGAGAGGCTGGTGCCGGGCGAGGGCGGGCAGAGAGGTCAAGGAACAACGAACGGGGAGGGATGAGGGCCAGTGCCTTCCGGGGAAAATGTCCAAAGAGGAAAAGACAGCACATATGGACGTTACTTGGCAGGGAAGGGAGTAGTAAAAAGCTACGGTCAGTAACGGCAGACAGTGGAAGAACGTCATATACAAACTACAGGCTAAATTCTGTGGAAGAACTGGATTTAGAAGGAAAGCAGTAGTAGATGCCCTAACCTGCATACGTGAGGCTCGCTAAAAGATGCCGGGGCTCAAATGCTTTTAACCTCCTTGGTGACACCAAGGAACCCAGCACTGGGGACACCTGACTTCCAAGAAACTGGTCTTTTAAAATAATTTTGCGAGGGCATCATGACGTGTTCGAATGGTCAATTACGGTTCCCTTTTATGTTTTGTTTCTGGGCAACTTTCTGAAAACTGGCTCATTTAAAAAGGGAATACTGACTGCCTTAGCTTGATTTTCTTTTTTCCTAATAAAAACCAGGACAGGTGCATGAGCCTAAAGGAGTGATTTACACAATGTAGCTGGAACGGCCTGCATGTACAGTCTATCACCGAAAACCAACATTTCCCATTTACAGAGCGCATATGTGAGACAATACAATAGAAGTGGGATTTCTGATTAATTTAAAAAAGAAAACTACATCAGTCAAATATCTGCAATAGATCATTTTTTCATTTAAGGTTTATATATCATATATTGTTATATTAACATTTTTCACCCATTTAAAAGAATGGAGATTGTGATTCTACAGTAGTACTTTAGAGTCCTAATGATCCAGAAGGTCTGCACATCAGATGAATCCTCTGGAAGCAACTGCTGGGCCAGTAGTTGATCCGAAACGCGGGACCCCTGCTGGCCCACCCGCAGCACCTCCTCCAGCCGGCGCTGCCACGTGCTTTCTTGCACTTAAATCTGCATCTGCTCCAGGTATTTGTAGGTCGGGTTTTCATAACCATGGTTCTGCATCTTGTTCAGGTGACGCTCTTCTGGGGTGAGCATTGGGTCGACCTGGAGGAACGAAGAGGGAATATCACTGCACTGTACCCAAAGAGGACTGCACAGGACACCAGAAGACCTGAGCTGTTGGCTGCGCACTCCCCTGGGAAGTGAAGTCCACCACGTGTTCAATTTTCATTGGGTACACCAGACAAGAGCTGGGGGGGTGAGGGGGGAGTGGAACACAAGAGGAGGAGAAAGAAAAGAAGCAAGTAAGCTTCTGAAAGCTCAAGTCCTAAAAGCTTCGTCCGACTTAGAGAACAGAGGGAACTGAATTCGCTAGCACCATGGTGATGACCAGGTCTCAGTACTGCTATTTACTACTCCAATCCAGGGGAGTGTTCCCTAGAAAATAAGAACTGGGATCCCAAGATCCACGGGGGTCTTTTCCAGCTCTGAAATTCCACGACGAGGGGCGCCTGGGCGGCTCAGTTGGGTAAGTGTCCAACTTCGGCTCAAGTCATGATCTCGCGGTTCGTGGGTTCGAGCCCTGCGTTGGGCTCTGTGCTGACAGCTCAGAAGCCTGGTGCCTGTTTCAGATTCTGTGTCTCCCTCTCTCTCTGACCCTCCCCTGCTCATGCTCACTCTCTTTCACTCTCTCTCTCTCAGAAATAAATAAAACATTTAAAAACATTTTTTAAAAAATGAAATTCCACAATGAGGTCAGTGTCCAGCAGGAGGTGGGCATACATCTGAACCAATTTTCCATATTCTTTATCATATTCATTTTCTGGAACCAAGGCACCCTGGCTGTTCCCATCCCCCACCACAAAATGAGTGGTAAGCAGTTCTAATTATGAACCAGCAGAAGACGGAACAGAAAATAGCCTGCTCTGGCTCTAAATTTCCTGTTGCTTTTCTTCCCCGTTAAAAAAAAAACTACTACTCCTATTTCATATTTTTAAGATTTGATTCATTCATGACTGCCATGGTTGCCTGATCCATCATATACCTGGGTTGCTCCTTAAAAAAAAAAAAAAAACAACAAAAACAGTAACAAAACCAAAAATAAACATGAGTATCAACAATCCTCATTCTCAAATATCTAACATACCTGAAAGAAGAAAACACTCATGAAATTCTCACCCTCTGCAGCATAAAATACTCTTATGGTTTCCTCACACTCACAGTCAGAGCTGGCACAGCCCTCTGTGATAGGATCAAGATAATTCGGTTGGGACTGACTTCCAAAGCATGATCTAATAATCCAGTGAATAATTGATTGAACTGCAGCGCCCATGCAGTTAAGATGTCTGAATTCCATAAGCCTCCCTGACGGCACAGAGCAAAGCACCACCACCTCCAGGCCAAGTCACAAGACAGCCGCGCTACTCACCTCCACAATCCCGTGGCTGATGGTGCCATACTGTCTCTTCCTCAGCATCACCAGGCTGATGACTATGACTGTGGCGATGGCCACCGCGATGACCAAGAGCCCGATGAGGGCACTGCTGCTCAGACTGAAATCCTCCCGCAGTGGCCCCACGGCTTCCTACGATAAAGACAGGTGTGCGACAAGTCTCAGTGACCATTCGCACAATGTGAAAGACGGCAGGCGGGTGGCCAGGCTCCTGCAGTCATGACCCCGACACCGAGGCAGCTCCGAGATGCTGCTTTCCAGGGAACTGTCCCTGCAAGGAGAACTCCCACTTTTCCTAATCTCCACGGAGATCCTAACTTTAGCTTTCTTACCCAAAAATATGGAAAGGTGGGGCTGGGGGCCTTTGAGAACGTGAGACAACGGGCATCTTTCTACCTTCCACTGGAAATGAGAAGACACGAGAGAAGCAGCCGAGACCCACAGGAAACCTGGCCTTTAGGTTCCGGGACTGAATACATACCGGCTCTGTCTCCAGGCCACCAACCCTCTCGGCGTTGAAGATCATTTCCTTAACATCCAGGGTCTCGTCGATGACCTGGAATGGTATGGGAATATCAGCAACTGGGTGGGAGGGGACATTCAGTATAAATGGAACTGCTTCTCTTCTCCTCTGCTTATTTGGTGGAGGGAGGCAGATACCTGAGGACACCCACTAACCAAGCAGTTCTGTCACGTTCTTGCAAATCCACTCACCAAACCCCTGAAGAAGCAAGTGTGCACACAAGTTACTGTGTTGCCGCTGGTTCCCTAAGTGTTTCCACTTGCCTTGTCCTTTAGGTAACCGTTATGGAGACACATTACAGGATAAATTACCAAGAAGTCACCTTTAAATATCAAACTCAGGGGGTGCCGGGGTGGGTCATTCAGCTAGGTATCTGACTTCGGCTCAAGTCATGATCTCGTGATTCATGAGTTCAAGCCTCATGTCGGGCTCTCTGCTGTCAGCTCAGAGCCTTGAACCTGCTTCAGATTCTCTGTCTCCCTCTCTCTGCCCCTGCCTTGTTCACAATCTGTCTCTTTGTCTCTCTCTCAAAAATAAACAAACATTAAAAACAATTTAAAAAATATGGGGGCGCCTGGGTGGCTTAGTCGGTTAAGCGTCCGACTTTCGCATAGGTCATGATCTCGCGGTTCGTGAGTTCGAGCCCCGCGTCGGGCTCTGTGCTGACTGCCAGCCCAGAGCCTGGAGCCTGTTTCAGAGTCTGTGACTCCCTCTCTCTCTGACCCTCCCCTGCTCACGCTGTCTCTCTCTCCTAGAAATAAATAAAACATTTAAAAAAAAATATGTATATCGGGGCGACTGGGTGTCTCAGTTGTGTAAGCGTCCGACTTTGGCTCAGGTCATGATTTCACAGTTTGCGAGTTCGAGCCCCGCATTGGGCTCCGTGCTGACAGCTCAGAGCCTGGAGCTGCTTCAGATTCTCTGTCTCACTCCTGTGCCCTTCCCCTGCTCACTCATGCTTGCTCACTCTCTCTCTAAAATAAACATTAAAAAAAAAAAAAACCCTCAGCTGAGGATAATCCAGAAATGTCAGTGATAGAAAATGATGAAAACTAATAGTATGTATAAATCAAAGGCAACGTAAGAACCAAACCTGACTCTATTCCATTTACAAGTTATTAAATCTCTATACTCACTTGAAAATGGCCTCTCGTATTTTATTCATGTCTTTAGTTGCAAATATATTTCCCCTACTGTGTGGCACAAGGAGAGAGCTATGGCTGAAAAATAATTCTTTATTCCTTTTCCTACCCAGATGCTAAGGAATACAACGGATTTGCGGGGGCAGTTGGAGCCCACCCATCTTCTCCCACATGGAAGCTCACACATGGGAGGTTCATCTGGAAAGTGTCTACAACAATGCCACTCACTCTAATTAGTCTCAAAATTAAAACAGGGCACAGCGGAGGGGAGAAATGGCTCACCATATTTTCATCCACTTTATTCTTACTGTTAATCACTTTCTCCTCAGCACCGATCAGTCCTCCGTCCTGCTCTCCCACTCCAGATCCTGTGTGGAGAGAGATCACAGCTGAGTGTTTCCCAGGATGGACGGATCGCGTGCTAACCTCACAGAAGCAGGAGCCCTCACTGACCGCCTCCCCCGGTCCTACATGATATGCTACTTTGTTCCCATTTTTAAGGATGCACTGTGCTCTATAAGGATGAATGGTACAGGCATTTTTCAGAGGACCGATGGGTTTAATGGAGGAAGAGAGAGTGCTTACTTAATACCCAACTTGGAAAAATGCAATGCTAGCCTTCAGAACAGAATGTTTATTGTAAGATAAGCAGAAGTGGAGTCCAGAGGCATTCTAGCACAGAAAAACAGGGAATGTCCCCATGTGACATTACCGAGCACCTCTGAGCCCACAGCCTGCTCCTTCAGCACCCTGGGCTCCCTTTGGGTGGAAAAACCATCACGCGGGCAATGAATCTGCACATTTGCCTCAAGCCTCAGGTTTTATCCCACAGGCAATTCTTTTTGCCTAAAATACCCTCCCTGACATCCAACCCTTCCTAGTTGTCCTTCAAGCTGCGGCTTCTCTTGGGAGACATTCCCAGCTCACAGCACTTGAAATCACTGTTTATCTTCATTTTCTTCTGTGTCTCCCTCTAGCCTGCAACCCTCTGCGGGCCTGGATCACAGATGTCACATCTTCAGCAGTGATTCAAGAATGAGCAGGAAGGAGGCGTTCCACAGACAAGGAGAATTCGAACATGAGGGTGGAAGGTTCCTTTCTATAAAGGGAGCAAGGCTAGCCACACTCCTCTTGTCAAGGTCAGACATCGCCTGAGCCCACGTCACTTGTGTGTGGCACTCCAAATGACAGCATCCAAAGATGCGGCTCGACTGAACCCAGCACGAATCCAGGCAGAGGAAAACTGCAGAGCAATCCTCTTTACTTTTAGTTTCAAAAACCATGTGCTTTCTACCAACCCTATAAGCTTTTTGTTAATAGTTAAGATACATAGTTCTATATAAATGTCCACGCTTTGAACCTTTTATAAACAGAGCAACCGGGAGCCTGGAGCCTGTTTCAGTCTGTGACTCCCCCTCTCTCTCTGACCCTCCCCTGCTCACGCTGTCTCTCTCTCTCTCTCTCTCTCTCTCTCTCTCTCTCTGTCAGAAATAAATAAAAAAACATTTTTAACAATTTTTGAAAATTTATTCGTTTTATTCCACAATTCATGAAGTGGGCAGCACCCCATCTTAGCATATAGAAAGAAGCTCTGAGGAACTGTACAAAATGGAAAGCTTTTATAGGCAGAAGGTGGTAGAAAAAGGAAGTTTCTATCAAAGGACATATTGTTTCAGACAGAGTCACCTTCCTTTGAGGGAAGTCAGAGGTCTATCAGGCAAATTATCTCAGTAATGCTGACCAGGTAATTCCAGATTGACTGGCTAAAGGTTATATTCCTGTAGGACTGAAATTGCAGTTAGGTTAAGTATTAAGTCTTCATTTGCCAATGGAGGACTTAGCACAAGTGACTCCATTTGTGGCCTATTATTTATTTTTTAACATTAATCACAGAGTTGCCCTGGATTTTTGACAATATCTAATCCAGAGCACCTGGGCCTGGAGTCTGGCATGCTATACCACTCCTGCACTCTGACCTTCCCATGTTCTTGGGATCTTGTCTTTCTCCCTTCGCAGCTGCCTGCCTCTTCAGCCTCTGCTTACTTGTTTCTCAATCTGAACGGATGTCTTGTCCATGAGTCCATGAGTTAACTCCTTGAGGGCAGGAATCTTTGTACCCTTAGGATCTAGACCAGGACATACCAGAGAGATGAGCAGGTCACATAAATGTTTGCTGAATAAATGAATAAGTGAAAAGTAAATAATGATGATGATGATAGGCAGTAATAATTTTTATTCAAAAAGCAAAACTTTGGGGGCCATGGACCCCTTGGGAAATCTGGTGAAAGTTATCAATGTCTTCTCAGAATGTTTTTATGTGTACAAAATACATAGGATTACAAAGTAATCAAAGATATTTTTAAGAATCAATCTGCAACATAGAAATAAATGTGCTGCTAAGGGGCGCCTGGGTGGCGTAGTCGGTTAAGCGTCCGACTTTCGCTTGGGTCATGATCTCGCGGTTCGTGGGTTCGAGCCCCGCGTCGGGCTCTGTGCTGACTGCCAGCTCAGAGCCTGGAGCCTGTTTCAGTCTGTGACTCCCCCTCTCTCTCTGACCCTCCCCTGCTCACGCTGTCTCTCTCTCTCTCTCCTAGAAATAAATAAAAAATATTTTATAAACAGAGCAACCGGACGGCACATCCCTCATTCTAAGGTGATCACCTGCATGTGAGTAGGACTGAAACATGAGTATATGCCAAGCACTGCTGTCCCTGGGCTTGCCAGAGCCCATGACACCAGGACCCAACAGAACAAAGCCTTCCAGCTCACGACCAGGCTCGCTGTTGACACACACCATCAGTAACAGCTACTGCGGGTGCGGGATGTGCGGGCTAGCTAATGCGTTCGCTCATCGGAAGGCAGCCCAAAATAATGCTGGTTTTTCCTCAAGCTTTCATCCTAAAGAGGAATTTCCCAACTTGATTCTAGGGGAAGTTAAATCAGGGCTGACTTTTATAGTCTCAAAATGCCACTTAAACAGCAACAGTGCACTCCGACTGAGAAAGAAGAACCTGGCAAGGTGCCGTCTCAGCAATGTTGCGGATGAGCAACATAGTAAATTCGATCCCTTCCATCACTTTTTCTCTCCTCCTCTGGATTTGTAAGGTCAGAGGGCATAGAATCCTACATGAAAAATAACACGGCACTGAACCAACTAATTTAAAGTCCTATGACGAGTCTAAACTGTTCCGATACTCCTTTGGTGGTATAACTCACGTGTTCTCTTAAACACTGACCAAAATCACCTTGGCTCTTAAAAAAAAGGCATAATCAAGTGACGTTAGAGAACAAAAGTTAATGTTTAAATTATTCCAACTAATAACAATTGAAGTATGTGGGCGAAACCCAGGTAAACTTCTAGGAGATTCGTCTTTATAAATATCTAAGATGCACTGCTCAGAGTCACCTCCGAGAAGAGGCATATCCAAATAGAACAAAACCAAGCATTTAACGTAGAAGTGATTTTTGTAAGGTTGAAATGGCACTCTTCAGTTCTGAGAAAAAGCCGTGGCACAAACAACATCAAATTCTTAGAGAACATAGCCTGGTGCATCCATAGCCGGCCAAAGCCAGTGGGCTCATAACAACACACACTAAGAACATGAAACATATGCACTTATTCACAATGACCCCAGGGCCACGGACCACGCAACAAGCTGGGGAAATGCAGCGGCCTTTTATGCAACAGAAATTGCACAGGCTCTGAAGACAAAGGAACTGGGTTTAAGTTTGGATTCCTCCACTTCTTACAGTCAGGACTCAGAGCGAATCATACAGTCTGAGGCTTTTTCAACCACCTAATCTGTCAGAGACAGCTGAAGCCCCAGCCAGCAGGTGCACGCAGTGCAAGAAGTGAGGCCACGTACGCGAGGCACTCAGTGTTGTGCTTACACGGTCCCAGCCTGTTCTGAAGCTTGGACACTCACTACCACACAGGAGTCCACTTGTCACAACCTGTTCCATCCATCAGCTTCTAAGTGTTTGAGGAATGCTAAACTCAGGACGGAGACTAGTGGTAACAGACAAGTGGGCACAGACACAGGGCCGGGCACAGTTAAAAGGAAAGGGCAAGATGTAGTAGGAGCAGCAGAGGTGGGGGGAAAGAGGCAAAAGAAATCGACTCTCCACCTGCCCCCTAAATTAAGTATATTTTCAAATATACTAGCAATTCCAACCAACCTGTTTAAGTTGGACATACGTATAAAAATCTAACCAGATGAGGGGTGCCTGGGTCGTTCAGTCAGTGAAGCGTCTGACTCTTGGTTTCAGTTCAGGTCATGATCTTGCGCTGTGAGATGGGCGCAAAGCCAGCTTCATTCGGAGTCTCACTCTCTGCCCCTCCCCCAACTCACGCTCTCTTGCTCTCTCAAAATAATTGAACTTAAAAAAACAAATCTACCCAGATGAACTGTTTCATAAAAATATCTGTTTTGGTTACTCTGTATTCCCTGGACATCCAGAAAGGAAGTTGAGGACGGGCACCCTGTAACCAGTACCACGGACACTGGGTTCTAAGCGCTGGCCCCAGGGCAACTCTGGCTCCCCTCACAGCCACAACTCGAGAAATGAAGTGGAAAAATCTCAGGTGATGGTATGAAACAGAAAATGAACCTCCCGACACACGGGGGAAGTACAGAGGAATGGAGGTCTTAAAGGGAACATCTTTGACAGACCAACCTTTTTTCATTGGATGGTACAACTCCGGCTGAGTGTCTAGCAGAAAGGAAAACAATAAAACAAAAAAATAGCACAAAAAGGAGATTAAGAAAGAAAATGGCTTCTTTCAAAATTGCTATCTTAGAATTCTCTATAACGTAAATAAAAAGTATTCTTCCTTAAAAACATGCCTGAAATATCCCATAAACAAACCAGCAGCTAAGAGCCACACCGTGTGACTGGAGGGTAGGAGAGAAAGAAGTAAGTCTGTCTTGGGTCTTTGGGGAAAGATTTGGGCAGATTCCCAAATTATTTAGCTTAGCCCACAAAGTTATTTTTCTTAGAAAATAACAAAAATACAGTCAGTATCGATTGTGGTTTTCTGACAAGGAGACCGGGTTCTAGTGCAGACCTGCCTGAGATGCCCTCACCCCCAAACAGGATACATAAGCACGGCTGCTCTACAGGCCCACGCAAGCACGGGATTTGTGAGTGCAGGTTTTAGGAACGAAGTGGGGTCTCTTTACTTCTCTGGCTCCTTTCTCGTATTCTGTTTTATTACTGCAGGGTCAACCGTGTAAGTTGGTACCTTTGGGGTAACTTGTGCAGAAGGGATTCGGTTTGAGTCTGAAGGCTGAGCAGGATGGATGTCCCCCAACCTCCCCATTTAGCACCTTCTTTGGGTCTCCGTCCCGGCACCGCTACATCTGATCAGGGGTAGGTGACAGGACCCAGGACTGCAGGACCACATCAGCTTGGGTTCAGATCCTTCCTCTCCACCCACAGGCTACGTGAGCCTGGGCAGGCACTTAACCTCTTTAAATCCTGGAATCCCCAGATGAGGACACTCCCAGTACCTACCTAAGAGGGCCATTTTGAGAATTAAATGAGAGCATCCGAGCACAGCGCTTAGCTAAAGCTGGCATATGATAAGGACTCTATAGCTGTGGCCACTATTTTTATCATCACCACCATCAGCAGCAATAGCAGCAGACAAATAAATAGAAACTGATTCCACAGCCTGGTCTCAGGGCACCGAGCTTAGCAGCTTGTTTATTTCTGGTGCACACCCACAGCTTTTAAAGATCGTTTTAAACATCAAGAACCAGCAAGGGAATAGAAGAACACATGAAAGATAGGGAGTCAGAGGGACATTGGCTTCTTAGTCCCCTGGCACCAGAGGTGTCACCTTGAAAAGTCACCTCTGTAGCCTCCACTGCCTGCTCCCTGGCTTATTATGAAAAGCTAATGACCTAATATAACACGAAAGTGCTCTTTAAGCAGAGTGACTTCCACGTGCAAGACGTCACACACTCTGGAGTCAGCTGACAGGACCAGAAAAAAGAGAAAAAAAAAAAAACAAAAAACCCAGAGGGGTTCAGCAAACCATCTATAAAGTGGGAGAAATAGTACTAACCTCACGGTGATACTGAAGCTAATGATCTGAAGGCAACCAGCAAGGTGCCTGCATGTAGTAGGTGCTCAGTGAATCCAGTCTCCATCTCCGTGCCCAACTGTCACCAGGAAAATAGCCTCCCTGACACAACTCAGGTTCAAAATTCTACCCTCAACTTTCTAACCCAGGCCACCAGCCCACCCCCACCCCCAGACCCACTGAGAAGCTGCGCTGTCAATCATACACACCTTCGTTCTCAGGTAAGGACGGGAAAGGATGGAAAGGGTGGAATGGCGTGATCTCATCGCTCTCCTCGGAGCTCACCCGGACGTCCATGGGGGTTTCCGAGATAGAGGCCGTGAACTGGTCCATGTCCGCCCGCTGTTCTTGAAGTAGCTCGTCTGACAAAGAGAGGCACGGCAGGGAACCGGCTTTCAGAGGGACCGCTAGTCTGAACAGGCGGATTTATAGCATTATGGAACTTGGGATCTGCTGAGGGGAGCATCTCGCCAGCTCTCAGTGGACGACGCCCTCCTGCCTGCACCCCTGATCCTGTAGCAGCGCGGAACCCCAGCACCCTGTCCCGGGCACTCCTCTTCTTTATCAACTCACTCTGCTTCGGCGGTTTCATCCAATGGCACAGTTTTAAATACGCTCCATAGATCACGACCCCCGACTCACTGAACAGCCCCCTTTATACCCCTACTTAATGCCCAACTTTTATTTTATCGCGTACAAAGAATACGCTTTTCCTCAGTAAAGTGCGGCATCACCATCCACTCAGCTGCTGACCATGGCAGGCTGGGCACTACCCTCGATGCCTTCCTGTCACTCACCTCCGGCATCCAGCCCAGCAGCGCACCGTTTGCCCTTCCTCTGCCACGTGCCCAAAAGCCCCCACATCTCTTTATTTCCTCCATTATCATCTCAGTGCCATGACCAGCATTTGTCGCTTGGATTTTTACAATTGCTTCCTGGCAGGTTTCTAATTTTAATAGCACGTAGCAGCCAAGTAATTCTTTTTTTAAATTCGCGTTCTTTTTAAAAGCATAATCCAGATCTGGTCACTCCCTAGTTTAAAATGCTCTAACAGCTTTCTATTTATCCTACAATAAAACCCAAACTCCTGGATTTTGTTAAAACCTCTGAACAAATTGGCCTCTGCCAACTTCTTTGGCCCTGTCTCTCCCTCCCTAGGTCTAGCCACACTGATCTACTCAAATGTGTCCACACTGGACTTAAACTTCAGGCCTCTGAAGTAGTCATTTCCTCTGCTAACAACGTTTTTCCCCTTGTGGTCTTTGCATGGATGGCTGCTTCTTGTCATGAGGGTCTTAGGTGACTGAGCCCAAGACAAACCCCCTGACCACCCAGCCACTCTCCAGCATTCCACACTATTTTACGCCCCCACGTGGCACTCCTTCTCGTTTTCTGGTCTGTCTCTTACTATAACGTGACCTCCAGGATATACGGTCTGCTCATGCACCATTTTACCTCTGTGACACACAGTAGACACAATAAATATTTGCCAAATAAACCAAGATGAAGACGAGGGGGGAGAGAGGAAGTGAGAATGTGTGTAAAATAGGTGCCTTGAGATGCATCAGCAATTAACGGGGAAAAGGGCAACAGGAAGCTCTCCTGGTCTTTGCAATTTCACACCCTCGATGTTACCCTTCCGGTGGTTAAGAAACTCAAGGATCGCTCTGTGGCTCACCGCCAGGACATCTGTCCTGGGTTACTCCTTGACCTTGCCACCTAAGCCCCAGTGAATTCCAGACCTAAAGCCCAGCGTGCTACCGCCCAGCTTCCTGGCCCTGGCCGGCCCTAGTTCTCTAACCTTGTACAGCTGCCACCCCTGAGCTCGGCCAGTCTCCCCCGGACCTCGGTACAAACACAGCACCCACCGATTTCCTCTTGGATTTCCTGGGCTACGTAAGGTACTTTGTAGAGCAGGGAGAGGCTTTGGTTCCTTCTCTCTTCAATCACATGGAGATGTGTCATCACCTGGAAGTACAGTATGGTGGAGAGGCCTCGTTACCGACAGAGCCAGGCCAGGATGAAACTTACAGACAGGACACATGCACACACTTCCGCAAAGATCAGCGGAAAAAGTATACTCTCTGCAGAGTCCAGCAAAGCAGCTGGGCAGAAGAAATGCATTAATCCCCACCCTTATTTACTGACCACTGAAGTAGAACAGCCCCCCTTATCTGTGGAGGGTATCTTCCAAGCCCTCCACTGGATGCCTGCAACTGCATACCGTACTGAGCCCCACACATACTGCAGTTTTTTCCCTTACAATAAAGCTCAACTTATAAATTAGGCAAAGTTAGGAGATTAACAATAACTAATAACAGAACGGGACAATTATACTGTAGTAAAAGTTACTTAATGGGGTCTCAGTCTCTCAAAATATCTTCTTATACAGTGTTTACCCTTCTTCTTGTGATAATGTGAGATGATAAAATGCCTACGTGAGGCAAGATGAATGATGTAGGCACTGTGACCTAAAGGTAGGCTACTACTGACCTCCTGATGATACATCAGAAGATCATTCGCTCCCGGGCTACGGCTAACTGTGGAGAGCAAAGCCTCCAATGATAGGGGGCTGCTCTACGGGAATATGTTCAGACTGTAATACCCCTTGGTGATCTGAGAATTTATCCAGAGAGTGCTTGGAGTTAAAAAGAAAATTTTATTTAATTTAAAAACTTTCACTAGGCAGTTATTCACTTGGTTTTTATAAGAGGTACTTACTAACTATACTAATTCAGCTTAAAAGAACCCTGATTTAGTTTTTTAAATGTTTATTCATTTTGGAGAGCATGAGCAGGGGAGGAGTAGAGAGAGGCAGACACAGAATCCGAAGCAGGATCCAGGTTCTGAGCTGTCAGCACAGAGCCTGGTGCAGGGCTCAAACTCATGAGCCGTGAGATCATGACCTGAGCTGAAGTCAGACACGTAACTGACAGAGCCACCCAGGCACACCAAAAGAACCCTAATTTGTACAATGAGAGACACTAGGTAAGGTTTTGCTGAGTCAAAGAGTCAATTTTTACCACTGGTCAAATTAGATGGGGTAAAAAGAGAATGAAATCACTGGCTAAAAGCAGACTGGCAATGGAGAGGGAGCCATTCATGGATTTTGCTTAGTGAGGTAATTGCTTGAAATGATTATCGTGGTGAATAACAGAACTAATTTATTCATATTTAACTAAAGTAGTTATTTCTTCACAACTTTACACTGAGGTATAAGTAAGCCTGATTTTAAGGGGTGATAAAGACTCATTTACCATCCGTCTTCCACGGTTCACTACCTTTTCTGAATGCAATAATCCCAGATTGTTCATGCTTTTAGAAAAGGGGCGGGGGGGGGGGCATCAAAACTGGCCATTTACTTCTGAAGCTTTTGGGTGGAAATGAAAGGTGATGTGGGCTAACATCCACCCCAAGGCCACAGTGAGGCATGCTGCTGTAGCTCACGCAAGCCAACTCAGGACGGTTATTCCTAGCTGGTCACACTTGCACTTCCCATGCTTGTCCTAAAGAGGGTGCTCTAACCCAGTGGATTAATTATGTGGGCTTGAAGCCATTTAACATGGTCAAGATGGAAAAAAAAATTAAATGGAAAGATGCTTTTATTGTAGATTGATGTCTCTCTGACCTTTAAAAGCAGGGATGAAAGCAATTTAATTTTATATTTGCCATTCTTTCAATCAAGTAAATTGATGGGAAAGCACAAGAGTAGTATGTGCCTTAGAGAAAAAATGCAAATGGAAACAGAAAATGCACCACCCACAGTCCTGGTGTATGTTGACATTGCCATACTTCAGATGAATTAAGGACCCCTTGACTGAGGACGGTTCCTATGCCCACAGGAGAACTAGACCACAGGGGGTCTGGACAGCAGTGTCCTCATGGTGAGCTGTGAGCTCACATGAGGGGTAAGAGCACCATCCTACTCACATCCCAGACCAAATGCGCGCGTTACAATAGGCTAAACATATTCAGCATTTTCTAGAGTGTAGATTAACACAAAGGGACCATGCAAAAGTTCATGTAAGTCGGCAGCCAAGGTTCACCAGAACTAAGGACTAAGAGCACAGAGTGACTACCACACAGGAGAGCTGGTTCCCCCCTGAGGTCTACGAGGAACGGGGGAGAGTTCCACTTCCTGTGCCATCTGGTGGGGCACTATGTGATCTTGCTGGTACACTACTCATTCCCTAGTCCTTTCCTTCTAGTCTCACCATATAAAAATGGCTCTTTTTCTGTAAAATACTACATGACAGTCTAGTTTTTCCACCAAAAAAAATGAACAAAGGTCTCTTATTTCCACCCTCCCAAACCAAGGAGACCTGAGAAATCAAGCCTCTGTCAAGATGGATGCATTTCTCTGCTTACACCTCCTGGAAGCCATGCTAGGACTTGGCCTTTTGCCTTCTCCTCTACTGCAGCCAGCTTAATGCAAGCAGAGCCTTGAGCTCCAGGCCCCTGCCCCAGATGCCTCCCAGGGCCCCCACAGCATCCCTGTCCCCATTCTCTCACTCATTCCCCCCAAGTGCCCAACGACTCGAGTCAACTCTATGTTTAAGGATAGTTATTTTTCATCTTTACGGTAATTAATTCCATGCTGATTGTGAACTGCTCAAGGGGACACAAGGGATCCAGCTTTGCAAGGTCAGATGCTAGTGGGGTCTGGCATATAGACACTAGGCACACGAACTTCTCAACCAAGGGAGAAGAACCACAGACTTCTCAACCACTCCAGTGGCAAGACTCCTAGGACTTCTGGGCAGGCTGCCTCACAGGCCTCGTACACACTCAGCAAGAGGCTGGGAGGGGGGTCCCTGGGGGGATGCGCAGGTATCCATGGGCAAGTGCATCCCACAGACACGGGACCGTCAGCACAGCGCTAAGTTTAAAAAATGAAAGGAAAGAAAATAAGATCAATCGTGTCTTCACAAGGCCCTCTAAAAAAAAAACCCAACGGGCTAAGCTATTAGACTTGCTGGTTTACAAGGAAGCCAGCAATCCTGCAGGCAGGTGGCTTATGTACAAATACAGGAGAGTAAAACGCGAGTTAACACGTGGACATTACCGAAATGAGAAAGAGGGTCCAGACGAACCTCTTGCAGGTGACTGCGAAGGAAAGCTGGACCCTCCACGAGACAAAACCAGCACCCATCTAAACTAAAACTAATGTACAAATGACACCAATTTTTAAGAACTGCTTGATACAGTTGTCTAGAAAAAGATTTCAAATATTAATTCTGGTGGTACCCTACATCAGAAATAAACAGATAAAAAAAAAAAAGATTAATAAATGGACTTATCTCTTCAATACAGTCATTCATTCCTAAACTTTCAGAAACTCTTTAAGGAGAAAGGACTTAAGACAGTATGGAAAAGAGATTTTAAAAACTGTATCTCTGCAAAAACCAACTCTTGTACGCTAATAATCTAATAACCATTTGTCACTTTCCAAGCACAACTATCGGTGCTGCCCGACCAGTGGTCAAAGCAGCGCCTCCCCATTAGAGATCGTCTCCTGCCGGAATTTGACAGTGTCTAGCGTACCTGGGATTTCATCTGGGCTGCCTTTTCTGGGTCAACAGCCAACACATGCTGGTAGTGACGGATGGTGTGCAGGCGATCTTTGTTCTCAGCACGGACGTAACGCCTCAAGGCCTGCAGGACGCGATGAGGCTGCAAGAGAGAACAGTAGTTTGAGTACAGATACTACAGAACTGAAAATAGGCAGCAAAGCACAGCTTAAAAAAAAAAGTCACCCAAGAATGTAAAGGTCAGCCAGGCACGGAAAAGGAAAGCTGTGCTTTTTAAAGCTTTTAAGCTTCCCAAGTAAGAAGAAACTACCTTTCTACATAACGTACCAAAAACTAAGTTGCAAAGTTATTTGGCTCCTCAAGGAACAGTGTTTTCCAGGATCTCCAGGCCGTTGGCCTCCTTGGTCTGTCCTCTTTCCTGAGCTCAGGGTCCAACACCTTAATTACACGGTAGACAGTCCCTGTATCACCCAGAGAAGACTTTGCTTGCTCACCTAAGAAGGATACCAATATCCTTCTTTCCAGTACTTTCCATCCCCCAAAAGTAAGGTAGGTTAGAGAGAAAGATGAAGTGTGAGACCACTAGCATAAAGGGCTTCGATATAAGCGCCTTTACCCTTTTCTTCATAATCTTATTACAACAGAGCCTATTCAAAAGCCATGTTTTTATTCTTTGAAGCAAAGCTACTACAAAGGGGCGCCTGGGTGGCCCAGTTGGTTAACCGTCTGACTTCAGCTCAGGTCATGATCTCATGGCTCAGCTCGTGAGTTCAAGCACGGCATCAGACTCTATGCAGACAGCTTGGAGACTGGAGCCTGCTTTGGATTCTGTGTCTCCCTCTCTCTTTGTCCCTCCCCAGCTCACAATCTGTCTCTCTGTCTCTCTCAAAAATGAACATTAAAAAAAAAAAGTAAAGCTACTACAAAAATTCAGTAATTGAGTAACTACCAACCAATATCCTCAGGGTATGCTTTCCCAGGGTAAGACACTTCCAGATCACAGGTGGCATATGCAAGCATAAAGTGTAATGCTAAGATGACATAAGAACATACTAGAACATGACACCTTTCTCCCCCTCCTCTTCTTTCCTTACCTTCTCTTCCCTTGCCAGAACTCATCATAAAAATGTAATTTTTTTGACCTCTGTGTCATCATACACGTTCTACACATACACCACTTTAGAGGAGGTGACATCGAGGGGACCGTTTCTCTGTGAATGGGCTCTGCACATCACTCACCCGTGGTGGGTCGGACTGCAAGGCAGCCAGGTAATTCTCCAGAGCCATGCGACGGCGGTCATTCAGCATAGCTTCTACTCGAGCCAGGTGGGTTTCCACCAGCTGCTGCTTCTCGCTGGCTGCTTCCTTCTCTAGAGCTTTAACCATAGTTTGGAAGTGCTAAACCAGAAAGGCAGGAACAACATGAAATGGTACTTGGAGGAAGTCTAAGCGCACACACAGCAATACCCCAGTACTGTGCCTCCTCGCCCAGAGCCTGTGCGAGCCGGTAACAGGTCCAGAAGAGCAGGAGCAAGGGTAAGATGGAAATACACTTTATCTGATTGCTGTCAGGAAAAGTACTGCCTTATCTAATGAGAGCATGTTAAGTCTGAGGGGCAGGGGACTTCTTAGCACTTTGTCACTGAAATCCCTAGTGTAGCAAGCCCAATGCAAGGTTTCTCCATGTGCCCTGCACAAGAAGGAATGTTGCCCTTTCCAAATTGTGGCAAAGGTGCCCCAGTTCCAAATCTGGAGACACAGACCAACAGGAGCTATATTTTGAAATCTATCCCAGTAATGTGGTGGGTTATGCTGAGTCATCCACACTGATGTCCTGAAGGGCAAATTATCTGTGAAATACCTGGCCAGGCCGAAAGGTAAAGTTTAAGGCTGTGGAACTAAATTTCCCTGCATAGGATGCATTGGCTACGTAGGAATGAACACTCTTAAGATTTTCTTGACGACTGCTAAGAAAGAAAAGGTGTTCCAACAGAGTGTTAACATCCTGAGAAGAAAGATTTCAGTTCATCATAAACACAAACTGATTTAAAATGCAATCAGCTTTATGAAACGCTAATCAGTCTTATAAATTGCTATCCCTATTCCTAACAACACGCTCTTCTATTCAAGGTGGGGTGCAGCTGTTGCTGATTCTAATGTTACATTCTTGCAAAGTCTGAGATGAACTGGTATCATAGTGTTTTACTGTCTGGCTTTTGACTTTTCAAGAAGTCTGCAAAAAAAAAAAAAAAAATTTTCAATACTGCTGAAAAACAAATCACAGCCTAAGAACGAAGATGAACTGAGGAGAGCAGAATTAACAAACACAGCCAGCTAAGGTTTGCTTGCTGGCATGAATTAGGTACATTCTGTTTGGTTTGCTTTCCTTGTACCATTGGTGATCAATTCTAGAGAATGCTAGTTGAGACGTAGGGGGAAAGAAAAAGGCAAGCCAGTTAAAACTTCCTGTAACATAAGCTCTCAATTAAAAGAAGGTGTCAAATGCTAATTTCCTGGGCTGTGGCTCTGACTGGACCTTAGAGGACCAGGCTCGAGGCTGTGTCCCTGGAAAACCCATCTTACCTGAATGAGAGTCTGCCGCTCTGCTTTCGGGAGGTTCTTGGCCTGAAGTTCAGCCTCTTCCCATTCTTTCTTTACCTAGAACAAAGGTCAAAGCCATGATCATCAGAGACTTCATCTCTGAAACAATCCCATTTTCTAAAAATACCGCCAGGCCCTGAAATCTAATGTAGGAAACCGTGCAAAAGGAAATCGCCTCATATGACCCCTCACGAGCTCAGGGTAGTTTTAGCTTGTTCGCAGAAGTACCATCTCAGAAGGTCCTGGACTCCAATGGTCAACAAACAAACAAGGTCAATTCCATGACCTCCTTGTTCTATAACCTTGGGCAAGTTATTTAAAAGTCTCTGTGCCTTAGTCTCCTCACACATACATAAAAAAAGGGGGTGGGGGCATGTTTAATACCTACTTCTCTGAACTGTTGTGGATGAAATGAAGTCAACAAATATTTCCAGAAGCGTAAGCCCAGCACATGTAATGTGTGAGATTTTAGTTGTATTCAGACCTAACAAATGCTTTTCAATTTTCTTTCAATCTTTCTCAGTAACTAGGAGAAAGCTGCACTGCAGTGCTCATGTTGCTCTAACACTTCTAACTTTTTTAAGAAAGCATCCCGAGGGGCGCCTGGCTGGCTCAGTCAGTGGAGCGTGTGACTCTTGATCTCAAGGTTGTAAATTCAAGCCCGACACTGGGTGTAGAGATTACTTAAAAATAAAATCTTAAAAAAAGGAAAGTCTTGAGACTCAGAACTTTCAGCAGACAACAGTATCTAAGCTAGAATATATTAATACAGGTTTGCTTTCATCTAATATATTCTTACAGTTACTTTGTTCTAAACGGCAAATGATACTAGCTTTCTATTTACAACAAAGATATAAAGTTTCCCTCCTCAGAAGAAAATTTTCTTAAAAGCTAGTTAATAGCAAAGAAAAATAACAAGAACATAATGGTTACAGGAACTGCTCTGCAGAGCACTCAGAGGCTAATTATATTATGAGATGGGGGAGGGGCAGTGGGAGGGGCTAGTCACACCCAGAAGGGAGCCCTGCTTTTATTCACACTTCACCTGTCATAACACAGCGTGACCATCTAGGGGGAGTGGTGTCCCTCTTCTTCCACTAAGAAAACCCTACTACCCAGTGCAAAACACCTGGAACAGAAGGGGAGCGCCTAGGTTTACCCTGTCCATTCGGTTGCGGTGCCGTATTTCCAGCTGCTCCTTAGCCTTCTGGAAGCGAGCATGCTCGTTATCATCTGCAGAGGTCTCGAAATACACATCAACATCATTGGTTGGCAGAGGAGTTGGGGGAACTGGAACAAAATCAGAGGGGGTTCCCTTTCAGGGCCAGGCCCAATGTTGAAAGTACATTGTGCTCTAGGAAGGAAATCAAGCTCAGGACTTGCAGAAAGGACTAGTTCGTCTCACACCACGCTCATGGTACAAGGTGCTCCTGCCTGCCAAGACTCCACTTGGTTAAAGTGTACTGCACCCCCTTCCTTCTGTGACTCTCAGCCACCAGGCCAGTCCCTGGCCCCTGCTGTCCTTGGCATCTACTTAAGACTTCAGGGGAAGAAAAGGAAATCACTTCTACACCTTCCCTCAGTTCCTGAAATCCTAGAACCTAAAAACGAATTATTTATTGCGGTCACTGATTGCTTCTGGCCAGAGACCAGGGCAGACATCAGGCCTCTAAAGGCAACTTCCACAAATGCTCCATTTTGAAAGGAACTTCAGCGCTGAATGGTCTTTGCATACAGACTGGTTAGGGAAAGTCCAAACTACTCTAGTTATATAATTTTTTTACTTTTTAATATGACTGAACAAGTCTTAGCCCCTCATACCAAAGATGAGGGACAACACTAAATTGCTATATTTGACAAGGATTCACCACAGAATGTGAAGATACACTTGGCTCTGGGCTCACTGGCCTTCCCAGGTCATCACCCACCAGGCAGCAAAACCCATTAGAATGCACTTTCCTCACTGCTAGTCAAGCTAAGGTCTTACTGGCCCTAGGCAACAGAATTATCCACACAACACAACAACGGAGCTTAGCCTCACAAAGGAAAGGTCTGACAGGACAAGTTTATCTACTGGACCCCTAAAGAAATCCCTATGAAAAACTCTTATTAGCCCAGTTCACTCCCAATTTTCCAAGCCAGAGAGGAAGGATAGAAAACATGCTTGTCCAACTTGCTGTATCATACGTTAGACCTCGGTGGACAGCAAACACCAAACACAACAAATTTCAGTTCAGAGATAAATTCACCTAATTTCCAGAACTGCCTACCTGTAATACGACACTAAAACAACTACAGACCTGACAAATGTACTACAAATCAGCCACTCCAAAGTTCTTCCATCAAAGCATTTTTACTTAGCTGTAAACCTAAAAGCTACAATTAAAATCTTGTCGAGAATATTTGGCTCCTACATAAGTTAAAGAGGGTCACCACAGCCAATTTTCAGATTAACTAAATTAGAATATACAGATTCACAAACCACATTCCCCCTGATAGAAGTTCAGCTGGGAGAGTTTCAAAGCACTGAAGTCCCTCAGTGCCAATGAGCGCGTTGCCATCAGCAACGCACGTCTCCAGCCTCAAGGCTTATGTGTTGGAGACGGTCTTCTGTTCGTATCACTGAGCTGGATAAAGATATAAAACACAAGCTGCCTGGATCCACTCCCGGAACAAAAAGGTAAAGGCACAGCAGCCCCAGAGGTCTGGTTCTAAAGATGCGAGGGCACCCAGACCCAGAACCACATCCTTCTGTCCCTGTGAAAACGACTGGTTCACAAAACCTGCACATTCGCCCCCTCACACCCCTTCAGGGGGGAGCACAAACTTGAGAAGAGCCACAGTGATACTTCTGAGCTCTCAGAGCGCTCAAGCCAGGGACCCCACAAGTACATGCACACAGTTTCTCTGTGGTTAAGTTCCCCCAGCTACACCCGCATCAGGGAACTCCTGGAGAACCGCCATTCCACAGTATCTTACAGCACTATCTATCCGATCCTTTATGGAACATAAAGCAAGAGCGTCTCCATGTTCAGTAAGATCTTTGATGACCCCTGATTCTTCAGACTTCACCCCCAACTAACATTTTGTTGCCCCTTATTTTAAGTAATTTTCCAAAGCAGGAAACATCACAATAATTTCTCTCTCTACATCTTCCCTGAATAAAAGTTTCTGCCACTAAGGTCCCCTTAGGACTCATACTGTTTCCACATTTTTAATGATTTCTAATAAAAACAGCCTCTCCACAAAGGAGCAGCAGTTGGAGTGGAAGTGCTAAAAGCACATCATATTATATTAAGATGTAAAACATCTTTTTGTGGGGCACCTGGGTGGCTCAGTCAGTTAAGCGTCCAACTTCAGCTCACGGTTCGTGGGTTTGCGGTTCATGGGTTCAAGCCCTGCGTCGGGCTCTGTGCGGACAGCTAGCTCAGAGCCTGGAGCCTGCTTCAGATTCTGTGTCTCCCTCTCTCTCTGACCCTCTCTTGCTGGTGCTCTCTCTCTCAGAAATAAATAAAAACATTTTTTAAAAAATTTTAAAACATCTTTTTTCGGGGGGGAGGAAAGAGGAACAGGGAGGTATTTGAGTGAAAATCCATCAGAAGCGATGGCCAAAACTCTTGAGCAAATACCAGGAATGACTAGCAATTCATTATTCTAATGAGTTCCAGAATCAGAACAAAGAAATGAGTGCCCAGCTAGAGGATCTTCCAAACCTATCTTATCTACCACTGCAAGATAAGAGAAAGAGGGCCTTAGAAAGGAAGAGAGGTAACCACGGAGAAAAGCAAAGCTTCTCCTACCCATGTCTAAGTAAATCCAACTCAGCTGAACCACTGAATTTCCTCTGTGACAAAGGACACAAAAACTAAAATTCTTTCATTCCCTAAAGCTCCACATGATCCAATGTTGCCAAAACATTGGAAAAACAGTTACCACCCTTCAGCTGCAGAGCTCTCCCCCCAGAACGCATAAAGCAAGATATTTCAATACTCTAGACTCCCAGGAGTATTCCTGGTGTCCCTTCTGAGAAGAGCGGTGTCCCCCTTAGCCAACATGTACCATGGGGGCGGGAGACAGGGTAGCTCAAAGACAAGAACAAGAGGAAAGAATGGAAACAAGAATATGCAGAACTCATGGCCAACCTGCTCACCCCTCTGTGCCTTTCAACTAGAGACAGCAGTCAAAGCAACACAGAGGCCCTCCGGGGGCCCACAGATACAAGGAAGGAGAACAACGAACAGGGCCCCGGCTCTCCGCTGTGCCAGGGAGAGGACACGCCACCACCACCACCACACCACCACCAGACCCACGGTTAGCATGGACGTACAAAACTGGGCTCGTGAGTGCCAACAGGAAGCAAAGCCTAGGTCTAGAAAGCACAGAGATGAGAAGAAAACGACTGACAGTCAACACCTGAGTCGGCAAGGGAGCACGACACAGACGCGGTCACGGGACGGCCAGGAGAGACAGAACGCCGGACAGGACAGAGCCGCTGCATGGAGCCAGCGCGCCGGGACTTACTCATCGCTTTACACACAGCCATACAATAATCCTCAGACTCAAAATTGTTCCTGTTGCCTCCGCAGCCACCATATATAAAGCGCACGCACTTTCCCTTGGAGAGGTCGAAGTACCAACGGGGCATCACGGCCCGGCAGGGGCCCGTCATCGCCTCCTGGGAGCAGACAGCTGTGTGAAAACGGTCAGAGTGTCAGCAGGACAGAGGCAGCAGCTTCCATCACAGTGCTGTGGGCCGGCAGGGGGGAGAAGGACGGGCCAGGCCCAGGCAACAAGCTTGACGACCCGCTGAATGTCAGCGGAGGCCAAGACCGGGCGGACCCTGAGAGCCCTGGTGGACCCGCTCACCAACTCGAGCCCGACCTTCCTGAGGACGTAGCCTTTTTTCCATCCTGATTGTAGTAAAGACATTTAGGAAGTGGAAACAGTGTTTCTCACACGGTCTTGAGTCTAGACTGATGGAGAGGAATTCTGTATCTCACAGCTCTGTGAGCCTCCCGTTTCTGAGATATTTTGCCTGACTTGTCAATCATCGTGGTATCAAGGACCACAGGAGACCAATGCGGGTGAAGAGGGTGTTTTAGTAGTGATAACTATAGGAAATGCTACTCAGGGGTCTCCAGTGTACATCTTCATGTTCTCCAAGATGAATCAGAAACTTCCAGACTGTCGGGACACCTGAGTGTTCTCAGTCAAGTGTCTGACTTCAGCTCAGGTCATGATCTCACAGTTCATGGGTTCAAGCCCCATGTTGGGCTCTGTGCTGACAGCTCAGAGCCTGGAGCCTGCTTCGGATTCTGTGTCTCTCTCTGTCCCCACCCCAACTCACAGACTTTCTCTCTCTCTCTCTCCCCCTCTGTCTCAAAAATAAACAAACATTTAAAAAATTAAAAAAAGAAAAGAAACTTTTAGACTAAGCATTTCCCCTACCAGGGGTCCTAAATAATTCTTCAGATCTTAAATGGCATCAAGCAGACACTCTCCAGCAGGCTGCATGTAAATGGCTCTAGATGGTCCCCCTCCCTCTTTTTATTTGACAGGATGAAAAAAATTGCTGGCCCCGATCCCTCACCAGTAGGTCATTAAAGGCCACCCTCCCAGTCACAGACCTCTTTCTGGTGGACCAACAGGGCAGCCTACAGATGGGAACACACTCAGGTAAAAAAACAAGGAAGTTAATTTCATTCTAGAAGGTCAGGGCTTCAGAAGTACTGAGGAGGGGGTTCCCCCAGGGGAGAGGACGTTGCAGGCTGCATGTGGAAGAATCCCAGCCAAGCAGAAACCATTATTATCTCCCTTATTCTCTGGTCCCTGTTCTGTAGTTTAGTCCTTACAATGCCAACGACAGTTTCTGATTCAGCTCTGGGTCCCTCCCCAAGTGTGGCAGCAGCCTGGCCACCCAGCGCTAAGATGGCACCACCAACCGGCTGGAGAGTGGACTTCATGTCAGCGTCCAGGCGCTCTGTACTCACCTGTGATGAATGCAGTCCAAAATTGTAAGCAAATAAATACCAGATGGATTTTAATACGTCAGGTTACCTTTAACATCATGAGTAATCTCCTTCTGTGAAATTGTCCCGTCGCTGCTGGGTTCAGTGGGGTTCTCTTCATTGTAGTCATCTCCTTTAAAGGTGTCGTAGTAGTAATCACGGTCTTCCACCACTTCCTCCCCTTCCTCCTCGTCTTCGTCATCCTCATCCACAGCTGCTTCTGTGAAGTCCACCAAATCTGCTTCGGTAGGAAATTCACTAAAGGTCACAACAGAAAAGGAAGGTTAACACCAATTCCTATGTGCAAAGCACAATGAGTCTCTTCCCTATGTTGAAACACAAAAACAGAGACAGGAAATAAGCTCAACTCACGTTTAGCTGTGCCACTACAGCCCTCAGCCCAGCTACAACAGCAAAGGGGAGTAAGTGGGCAGGCACTGCATTAGCCTGCAGAAAATACAGTGGCCCCAGAATAGGAAGCGCAGAGCTGCCGGCAGGCCTGCAATCAGGGTGACGATGAAATGCCAGCTGACTTACCTCCAACAGGAACAAGGAAATGCCCACTTTATCCAGAAGGGAGGGGCCGCAGTCCACTGCCACCAGCAAAACAACTGCACAGGTGCAGGAGGAGCGTTTACCTTTTATAAATATCATAGTCTTCCTCTTCATCCTCTTCCTCTTCTTCCTCCTCATCCTCCTCTTCCTCTTTTGACACGGTTGATTCAATAATCTTTGTCTGAGGGCAGCACACATATTCAGTGCCATGAAACTGGTCTACCCCACAGGGCAGCAGCATGCCATAGCGATATAAGGTCATCCCCTGAGTCAGACAGGCCTAAAAGAAAGTACAGACCCAACATCAGAACATTAATAAATTTTGTCAAATAGTCCCCGATCACTAGCTTCTTCCAAAAGAAACCCTTATCAAATCACTGTGCGTTCTCTCATGGACACATGAATTTTCTGTCGACAAGTTGTGACGCTATTATTTTAAGAAGATTTACAAATTTTGCTTAACTTGCAATGGATAATCATCACCTGGGCCAGAAACAATGAAAGCCCACAGTTAGAAAAAAATTAAGGAAAAGGGAGGAGTTCTCATAATTACCAATGCCAGCTGGAGGTGGTCAGTGATAATTTACATTGCTCACTGTGAGGGCATTGTGTCAGAATCCAACCAAAGAAACTCACTAGAGATCCAACTTAACCACAGAAGACGAGGGTCAGAAAGGGTATTTCTCCTCACTGGAAGAATGAAACAGCATCTAATCCTATGAGGATACATGTTAAGACCTAGATTTTCTAGAATTGGCTATTTCTACCCTAAGGTCCTAGGGGTTGGGATGGCCTCCTTCAGAATCTCATAGATAGCATCCTTGCTTAACAATCTTCACCATCCCTAACTTTAGGGGCTGGATTGTCAACAACTCATTTCCCTACAAAAATATCCCCCCAAATATTTATTTTTATTTAAAATTTGTTTTAAAACTTTAATGTTTATTTTTAAGAGACAGAGACGGGGGGGGGGGGGTGAGGAGCAGAGAGAGAGGGAGACACAGAATCCAAAGCAGACTTGAGGCTCTGAGCTGTCAGCACAGAGCCCTACACAGGGCTCAAACTCATGAACCATGAGATCATGACCTGAGCCACAGTCAGATACTTAACTGACTGGGCCACTCAGGAGGCCCTAAAAAAATTTTTTTTAAGTTTATTTATTTTGAGAGAGAGAGAGCGAGAGAGAGCAAGCATGGGTGAGTATGGGAGGGGCAGAGACAGAGGGAGAGAGAATCCCAAGCAAGCTCCTCACTGTCCACACAGAGCCAGAAGCGGGGCTTGAACTCACAAACCGTGAGATCATGACCTGAGCTGAAACCCAGAGTCACGTTGGATGCTTAACTAATTAAGCCACCCAGGCACCCCAAAATATTTTTAATTTAGAAAATACAAGGAATTACAAACTTTGAAGAGGTAAAGGGAGAGTAAAAGCAATTTGAAATCATGAGGAGATTAGGAAGAAAAATGTTACTTTCTCTCTTAGTAAGAAAAATAACATATGATCCATTCTTTTACCTCTTTGACTACAGTGTGCCAATGCTGGTGATTCTCGCACACCTCCATCCACTTTTTGTGGAAAAACTGGCACTTCTCCGGAACGAGTAGAACGTCACTTACGAATTCACCCACTGGAAAAGAGAAAGCATTGTTATGAGCAAATCCGATGATGATTCGAGGTATAAAGGACCTTTGCTGCATATTAGGACAGCTACACAGTCATATGTACACAGAAGCAGTCTCTAATTTATGTAAGCTGATGTCCCTCTCTAATCTTCAAAGGTCAGCTGGATGTTACAGCTCCAGGTAGAACCTGGACCTAGTTAAGGTCATGATGCCTGGGACATTCCTCACTCTTCCTGGCCTCCAATCCCTTAGAGTCTAGTTGCAGGGCTATCAGAATACAGGAAGGGTGGAACAGGAAAAGGAATCCCCCTGCCCCTAACGATTCCATGATCTCAAATGAACAGAGATACTCTGAGATACCACCACCTCTGAGTTCACGTTAACATTCCTAGCCTCTTATATCCCAATTTCTGCCCACATTTGTTCTAACAACAAAATCGCCAGGAAATTCAGACTGGGTGTTCCTTTAAAGTATGGATGAATCTTACTTTGGCCCGTTGTGTACCTAAAAATATGAAGCTCTAAGACAAAGCACCACTGTAATAAGTGATTCAGGCAAGACTCATCGACAGAAGGCAATGGGTGCCTTTGCAACGAAAACTCTGGCAGACACTACTTGAACCAGGTGACCAGCTTAACATCACCAACAACGACACGCTGACATATGTGATGTCCTAAGAAGAAATCTCACTGGGGCTCAGTTGGTGAAGTGTCCAACTCTTGACTTTGGCTCAGGTCATTGTCTCACGGTTCTTGTGTTCGAGCCCCACATCAGGCTGTGCACTGACACTTAGAATTCTCGGTCTCCCTCCCTTTCTGCCCTTTCCCTGCTCACATTCTCTCTCAAAAATAAACAATGGGGTGCCTAGGTGGCTCAGACGGTTAAGCGTCCGACTTCGGCTCAGGTCATGATCTCACGGTTCGTGGGTTCGAGTCCTGTGTCGGGCTCTGTGCTGACAGCTAGCTCAGAGCCTGGAGCCTGCTTCAGATTCTGTATCTCCCTCTCTCTCTCTGATCCTCCCCTGCTCACGCTGTCTCTTTCTCTCTCTCAAAAATAAATAAAACACTCAAAAAAATTTAAAAAACAAAAATTAAAAAGAAAAAATAAACAAAATTTAAAAAGAAGAAAATATCACTACACAGTCTCTCTACCAAGAGTTTGCCACTTGAATCTAATCATGATAAAACAGTAAGACAAATTCAAATTAAGGGATATATTTAAACAAATGGCCTAAACTAAAAAACTATCATTATCGTGAAAGATAAAAAAAAAAAAAAAGTTGGGGAACTGTTGCAGATCAAATGTAATGTTCAATCCTTTTTAAAGGAAAGCTATAAAGGACATTATTTGGACATTTGGAGAGAAGCTGTCCGAAGTGTGAGTACTGTATCGTAGCTATGTAAGAGAATGTCTTTGCTCTTAGGAGAAACAAACCGAACATTCAGAAGTAAATTTTCACTATGTCCCAACTTACTTTCAAAGGGTGTAATAACAAAAGATATGTAAAATGTGCGAGTGCGCGCACAAGCGCACACACACACATGCACGCACGCACGCGCGTACACACACACACACACAGTGAGAGAAGGCAAAATCAGAGAACCTAGGTAAAGAGTATATAAGTATTCACTGTTAATTTTTTTTTTCCTATTAGGTCTACAACTTCTCAAAAATCAAAAGCTGGGAGGAAAATGCACAGAGCTGTTTAAAAAACAGATGATCTTTAGAAATACACACTGAAAGGGGCGCCTGGGTGGCTTAGTCGGTTAAGCGTCCGACTTTCGCTTTGGTCATGATCTTGCGGTTCGTGGGTTCGAGCCCCGCGTCGGGCTCTGTGCTGACTGCCAGCTCAGAGCCTGGAGCCTGTTTCAGTCTGTGTCTCCCTCTCTCTCTGACCCTCCCCTGCTCACGCTGTCTCTCTCTCTCTCTCCTAGAAATAAATAAAACATTAAAAAATTAAAAAAAAAAAAAAAAAGAAATACACACTGAAATATTTATAGGAAAAAAAATACTATCTGTGATGTGTTTCCAAATACTCAAGGGTAGGGGGGTGGGACTGTCCACAGAATATACTAGTGGCTCATGAACTAATGATCACTGCATAGCTGGAGAATAAGTACATAAGGGTTAACAGTATTATTTTCCTCTGTTTGGACATATTTGTAATTTCCATAATAAAAAGTTAAAAAACTCCTGGCTGGCTCAGTCAATAGAGCATGTGATGACTCTTGATTTCAAGCTCATGAGTTCAAGCCCCACGTGAGGCACAGAGCTAAAATTAAAAAAAAAAAAAAAAAAAATCATGTATCACGGGAGCATCACCCAGAGATTCTGATTCAGTAGGTCTAATGTGGGACTCAGTAATTTTCATTGAACAAGCATTCCAGGAGATTCTGATGCCTCACCGATATGCTCCAGACAGGGTCTAAGTGGAGGAAAACAGAGAGGGAGAGATGTGTGTACTCAGGGGCAGGGAAAGGAAGCAGGCAGGTTAACCTCGGAAATGCTATTTTTTTTTTTTTTTAAAGGGAGGGCAGAATAGGAAAGTAATCTGGCCTCAGAAAGGTCGTAGGGCTTTGACCTTAATGGAAAGTCTGTATAGATCCCCAGGTGCATCATCACGGCCTGGTCCTCTCGGACTCCTTAGCCTCGGGCCTCAGTCTGTGGGCACTATACAAGTCAATCCTTCAAAGATCCATGTGACAAGCAAAAGGAGTCCTTAATCTACTTTAAGGGGGAAGATGTGCTGTGACATTACATGCTGGGGCAGTAAACATGGCTTCCCCACTTCAGAATGACCTTACACAGGGTAGTGGCATTTCACACCACTCTTAGTACAGGCAATTTGGGGGCTAAAGAGCTCCATTTGATGCTCATGCAGGAACACAAAGTAAGTTAGGGACACAGTGTTGCCTTGAGGCCCTAAAGGCTCTGGGGAGGTAGAACATGTACACCAACTTATTCAATCAACTAGACACAATCAATGCTTAAAAAAATCCCAAATCCCCACGACATATGAGGATGTACCTCTACTAGAAGAAGCAATCCTGACACTCAACCAAGTAGAAATTACTTAAACCCTGACATCCAACCACCAACTTGTATTGTTTTAGTGTGATTATCCTATATTGACTAGGCAATTTTTACACTTAATTTATGACAAAAAGCAACAAAAGAGTATACTAACAGTGCGTACAGGGTTAGATGTCAGAGTTCTACTTTAGCACCATCATTACTAGCAGAATTGTCTCAGGCATAAAGAAGGTTAACTTATTTATTAACCTTTCTGTGCCTCGATATCCTTATTCTGTTGTGATGATAAATGATATAATACGACACCTGAAAAGCTTAGAGTAGATTCTGGTACACAATAAGCTTTAACCAGTATGTAAGCGTGCTAGCTTTAATTATTGATGCTGATGTTGCGAAGTCTTGAACTGAAGAAATACAAAGCAAACTATATGTACATCCACAGTTATACAGAAATCTACAATTTGTTAAAACCACAATTTCATCTGTACAACTGCAACATCAGAAAAACATCTAAAACAGCAATTTTAGAGGTGCCTAGGTAGCTCAGTCAGTTAAGGGCCCGACTCTTGATTGAGGCTCAGTGCATGATCTCACGGTTTGTAGGTTCAAGCCCTGTGTAGGGCTCTGTACTGAGAGCATGGAAGCCGCCTGGGACTCTCTTGCGTGCTCTCTTGTCTCTTTCCCTCTGCCCCTACCCTCAGCTCATTCTAAGTATTTTTTTAAATCCAACAGTTTTATTACTATATATCTAGTCTACAGAAGCAATAAACAAACTGGGTTTTTAAAACATACAGTGGGGAGCACCAGGGTGGCTCAGTATGTTGAGCATTCGACCTTTGCTTAGGTCATGATCTCGTGATTCACAGGTCTGAGCCCCACATCGGGCTCACTGCTGTCAGCCTGTCAGCACTGAGCCCAGTTCAGATCCTCTGTCCCTCTCCCTCTGCGCCTCCCCCAGCTGCATTCTCCTAAAAGTAAATATTTTAAAAATTGATAATAAAAAACAGTGGATAAAACAGTAATAGACATACATATACAGTGGAATACTCTATACTGGGTTAAAAATGAATGAAATCTGGGGCGCCTGGGTGGCTTAGTGGGTTAAGCGTCCGACTTTCGCTTAGGTCATGATCTCGCGGTTCGTGGGTTCGAGCCCCGCGTCGGGCTCTGTGCTGACTGCCAGCTCAGAGCCTGGAGCCTGTTTCAGTCTGTGACTCCCTCTCTCTCTGACCCTTCCCTGCTCATGCTGTCTCTGTCTCTCTCTCCTAGAAATAAATAAAACATTAAAAAAAAAAAAAATGAATGAAATCTACGTAGCTCACACTTCAGATACACCCCAAAAGGATGTAAAGTAAAAGCAAGTTGTAACAGTGATGTCAAGTATAGGATGATACCATTTAGGTAAGCTTGAAAATACAAAAAAAATGGTTTAAAGAAACATCTGTATACAGCAAAAGTATAAAACATGCATGAGACAGGGAAGCTGGGGAAGAGTGGGTGGGGGAAACAGGCGACGGGGATAAAAGAGCACACTAATCGTGATGAGCACGGAGTCTTGTACAGAATTGCTGATTCATTGTACCGCACACCTGAAACCAATGTAACACGGTATGTTAACTACACTGGAATTAAAATTTAAAGACTGGTTTTTAAAAAGTAGCTACTGAAATTTGGGTTCCTTCCCCCCAAGGAAACAAAAAACCTGCATGAGAATAATACCTGCCGACACGAGGGTCGTGGAGAACAAGGGAGGCAGCAAGAGAGGGCAAGATGGAGACAAGGGGAGAAAGTATGGGGCTTTGTCACACTGAATCGCTCTATGACACAGTAAGATGGAGATGAAGCAGACCTGGCAAGATGGTGAAGAATTTATATCAGGAGGATGAGCACTGAGGGACCATCCTATTGTTTTCCCTTTTTAGTATCCTTCAAATACGGTATTCCAGAAAGAAGTTTAAAATCAGAACTTTT